GATAAGGATGTCAAATAACCCAGAAACAGGGGTTTCTATCGATTTCTGTGTCAAAAAGATCGCTGGTCCACTAAGATTACTCATTGGTGCGTGTACATGGGCATGCAGCATCGATGGGGATTTGGTCAGGACCCTGTACGACGGCCCCCCCCCTTTTTGGGGGTTCGGTACGACCCCCCCTTTTTAGTGTTTTGACGTCACATAATTCCTGAAATTAGATATAAACAATTAGATATAAAAATAGATATAAACAGTCCTACCTAAATTGACTTGATTTACTTATGTACAAGCGTTTGTGATCAAAAACACGATGAGTAGCATACACACAGCATAAATGCGAGTTAAATGAGACTATGATTAAAACCAAAAAACAAAAAGCGGTATAACAGAAAAAGAAAACAAAAAAGAAATACGCCTAAAATGCATTAACCCCGAGATGTGGAGTACGGTAGCAGAGATGCGTACGTAATTGCAGCCGTGACTGGAGCAAACGGCTATTAGCCATGGAGCGAGAATTTTCAGCAAAGTAGGGTGTCTTTGAAGGACCATAACTTCCTCAAAAGCGGACCTGTGGGGAAGAGGAGAGCGTATTGGTAAATTAGAAGGTTTGATCTTCCTGAAAGTACTAAAATGTTCATGAAGGTCGCGAAAATCACAGAGAAATCTGCCATAGGGATTCGTTGGGGAGTGAAGGGTTGAAGTTCAAGTTGAACAGGTTTGAATCAATATATTTTTTTTGTAACTCAACATTTCACAAATCTGAGAACGGATCCGAGCTTCTCAAGATTTTCTCTTTCTAAAAACCTATTGAACTGTTCCTGAAGCTCTCGGGATTCATGAGATCTCGCGATGGGGATTTCTTAGGGAGCACTCCCAGCCGCGCGAAAAACCCGTTTCCTGTGCACCGTTTCAAGTGAGCGTGTTCGAATAGCCAGGAACGCATGTAGAACGTATCCTGTGGTGGAGCAGGAGCAGGATATGGTTCGTTTAGCGCCGATCACGCTGACTTTGTATGCGCCGCGCACTGAGGTCCGCGCAGAAGTGATGGGATGGTGCAACTTGTGCATAATGTGTGTCCACGCGCGCAAATGTGTCTGTAGGATTCAGGGAGGTCCATGGCGAACCTGTGCACTTGTCTACAGTGTTTTCCCTTGCGGATGATGTAGCGTGTCCGTGTCGACGCCGCCAGATCTGTGCTCCGATAGTTGCTGATTCCGATAAAGGAGACCAAGTGCTGGAAAACGTCTGGTACGAACGATATGGTAGTCCTGTCGTTTGTCAGAAAAAAAACAGGTTGGCTCAGCGCCAAGCGTGATCGCGGACACGCCCCATCATCCGCAGCAAACCAGAGTATGAGTTGTAGTGTTTAATCACTTACGAGATGTTGTCGACTTATTAATAATTCCAATTATTTCGGATTAGTTTGATGGATGAAAGTTTTGTACTCATTTTTTACATATCCGAGTTCTCTACGAAGCAAGTTCCGCTACACAGGATTCAGCACACTGACACCTTTGCGCTGCTCGATACTGGCTACCGCACTCATTACGACCCCCCCTCTCCTGGCGCCAAATACGACCCCCCTTATGGGGATTCCCCAACCAATGCTGTGCCCTGTGTGTGTATTGAATAACCCGAATTTTCACATAATATTTATTGCTACTAAGCAAGAATCCGCAGTTTCAAAGAATGGCACTAGTGTGGCCAGGCTTCTGTCGAATGCGAAACGTGCGCTTAGAGGCTCGAGGCCTGGCGGTGGGTGTAACGGAGCGTTCATCCAGACTGCTCAGAATCATCAACGTAAAGAATCACTTCACTGACTCTGAAACATACGTGTACACACGCCATTACGGTTGTTTCACTTCATAGCACAGTTACTTGAAGCTAAGAGGGTCTAAACCATTCCATGATCCCTAGGTTACCCGAACCTTATCAGTACCATTCCGGAAAAACAGTCACATATATCAAGAAAGGGAAGGAAAAAATAGTCATCCTTCACCTGGTGCGATAAGAGAACCCTTCCCTCTCTGGGAATCAGAAAAATGATTGTATGGTCAAAAGAGCCGTTGTGAGAAAAATGTTGTAATAGAAAAGGGAAAGATAGAGCAAGAAAGTAGGAAGACGACGTCTCTGGAATGTTGTAAGATAAAAGTCGTTTCGATGGGGTAGCGATGATTTCAAAAAACCCGATGGTGAGGCTAGCTCATAAAGAGAGAGCAACTACAAGGAGGGCGGGGAATAAGCTAGAGTGGCGAGAGTTTATTGGCTAGTTACAACACAGTCAGAAATACGGCCGAGAAGAACTTGACTGGACCGAAGCTTAAGCCTCAAAACCTATTGGAGAAAGAGAATGTTGACCGCAAAACGCAGCTACCCAAGTCCTAAGGAGATCCAGAAAGCTTGCTGTTTTGAAGGCAATTAGTGAAAATAAAAAAAGAAAAAGCTATCAGGAAAGCTGTCAAAGAAAAGTAAGTAAGAAGGCAAACTAAGAGGAAACGTGACGAAAAAGGGTAAGTTGAGAAAAAACTCACCAATCCCCGCCTGGAGGACGCCCTCGCTGCTACCACTAAGATTCTCCGTTTGTTGTGTGAATACCGAATATTCATATAATATTTATTACACAACAGGAATACCGCGGTATCGGAGAAATGGCCCTTGTGGCCGCAGGCTTCTGTCGACTGGAAGCGTGGCTCCAGGCCCGAGGCCTGGCGGGGTCACGGGCATCATCCAGAATGCCATCTGAAGCTCCTCATCCAGATGTTACCACCCTCCTCCGATCGATGTTCGCCGGACATTCCTGAACAGCTCACGTCATCATCGACGTGATTCATCCGAATCGCGTTTATCCCTGCCGGAGCCGCTAGGGCTCTTACAGCACCAAAGTGGCGCCCGCTGGCGTCCAGGTGGCGCCAACACTGGAAGGCAACGATATTCGTGACAAGGATGTCAAATAACCTAGCTATGGAGGTTTCTATCGCATTCGGTGCCAAAAAGACTGCTAGCGCCGAAATGGCGCCTACTGGCGCCATATGGCGCCAACGACAAATAAGATCTGGCGCCATATGGCGCCAACGGCAAATAAGATCTCACGTTCATGATCAAAGCCCCGCGCAGTCCCTGCAGCCAAGGTTCCGTCCAAAAAGAACTATTTTGGAGGTTTCTGCCGCAGCAGTAGCTAGTTGAAAAATTTCAATTTTTAATTCAAAATATCCCATGCAGGCAGCAACATTTCCCTTGCTCATCTCCTGTTGTACTTCATTTTTTACCGGTTATTCGAAAGCAAGAAAAAGATCGATTGAGACTGCCGGCAATAACCCGAAAAGTGATGGAGAAAGTTATGAGCCACCGGTGGCTCAAATTGTCCCACGTGGCCACTCACTTATGAGCCACCTCGTCAACGTGTTAAAAAAATCATGGCAGGCATAGTGGTCCGAAATGGACACCCACGTACCAGATTCTCATCGAAAAGTTGTAAGGTAAAAGGCGGGGACTAGATTTAGGTAAACTTCCTTTTTCTAGTTGGTTTCCAGTCTCCACCTTGAAGACACACGGTACACAAACACATTGAGGGTGTATGAGACTATCAGCCCCCCCCCCCTCCAGCTGTCGATGTGGTCCCCCCGCCCAAAACTGCACGGGGGTCAGAGTACGGGGCCGTGGGAAAGTCGTAATTCCTTGCTACACCGCCCGTTTCGCAAACTCACGTTTTTACTAACACCGTCCGCGCGGCGCGTGTCGCGTGCAGCTCTCTTGGCTTTTTGCCAAGTCCTGTAATTGCGCTTTGGAATACAAGTACAACGCAATTTCTTTATGCGGATAACATTTTAGGTGCTGCAAAATAAGAACCGAAGATGATGACGAGGGCTAGAACTCAAGAGCAACTGTGGTGCTTCTGCAATATCCCTAAACCGCCTAAGCATCCCACTCGTTAGTATGAAGTATTTCTATAGCTATTAGAGCCGGATTCGAGCCGGATCGCAGAAATGCACACGCGATTTTAATTTATTGCGTTTCCTTAGTTTTTTCAATTTTGTTTTATTTACATCTACATTCGTTGTTCTTCATTTCTAGCCTTTGTCATCTTCATCACCTTCTATTCGGACTTTGAAGCATGAGCAACACCTCAAATGTTTTTTTATCAAATGTTATTGAATATTTGCGTTGTGCTTGTTTCATGTTTTTATTGTCTATGTTCTCGTTTTTTATTGTCATTTCTGTGGGATAATTCGCGCCGTCCGAGGATTATGCAAAAAGCACCAACAAATTGCTCTTGAAGTTTATGCCCCCGTCACATCTTCGGTTCTTATTTGCAGCACCTAAAATGTTATCCCATAAAAGAAATTGCGTTGTATTCCAAAGCGCAATTACAGGTTCTGGCAAAAAGCCAAGAGAGCTGCACGCGACACGCGCCACACGGACGGTGTCAGTAAAAACGTGTTGCGAAACGGGCGGTGTAGCAAGGAATTACGACTTTCCCACGGCCCCGTACTCTGACCCCGTGCAGTTTTGGGCGGGGGACCACGACACATCGACAGCTGGGGGCTGATAGTCTCATACACCCTCAATGTGTTTGAGCGTACCATGTGTCTTTAAAGTCCTTCCTTTCCGCCGAAAAAACGATGCTACCGCACATAAAAGAAGCTCCACTTCATTGGGTTATAGTGTTCATTGTAAGAAATCAAATGACTGGAATTCTCCCCGATCTTTTCGCCCTTCATTCGAGAGTAGTGGAGATACAGGAGGCGTTTTCAAAATCTTTTTTGTATTCTCTTTTCACGGTCGAGTCGGCAACTTCTCTCCTATATCTCTATCTACACCACTATCTCTGTACGTTAGTTTCAAGAATGCATTTGCTCCACCATGTACTGCTCCCAGCTGAACTCATCATGTTGACAAGTTATTAAACAAAAAAAACAAACAGTAATAATTTATTTGCCGAACATCGTTATCTGATCGGAAAACTTTGGGTGCTGGCGGAGGTTAGATGTTTCCTTTCCAACTCAGTTCTTAGCAATGCGAGACAAGAATATAACAGACCGAGGTGGGCAGGGGCAGTAGGCAGCGTCGCCTCCTGGAGTTCCAGGGCCCCCTGCTTTCCCCGGGTTCCCGTCGGGCCCAGGTGGTCCAGGTGGTCCCGGATTTCCAGCTGGCCCGATTGCTCCTTGAACACCTGGTGATCCCAGAATTCCTCCACCACCCCCGTTGCCGGGAGGTCCCATCGGACCGTTCGCTCCAGGTGGTCCCGGATACGAAGTAGATATGGTGCCGTCTCGACCCGGCTCTCCAGGTTGTCCATCGCTCCCAGGATTTCCTGGTGATCCTGCGTCTCCAGGAGGCCCAGCGGGTCCTGGCTGTCCACCTTGACCAGGAGATCCGGCTTGGCCCGGGTTCCCATTGGGTCCTGGATTTCCCGGACCTCCAGCAGGACCAGGCGGTCCAGGTGGTCCTGCAGGGCATGTGATACATTCAGTACTTGGTCCGGGACATTGGATAGGAGCGTAGGTAACAGTGTTGTCATTTCCAGGCTGACCAGGTGCTCCAGGCTGTCCTGAAAATTGTATTTATTTTCTGCAATCGTTTTTAAAGAGTAGAAGAACAAACCAGGTGTTCCAGCAGGTCCCGGAGGTCCAGGTGGTCCGGGTGGGCATATGGGCTCCGTGGGTGTGCACTGGCAGAAGGAGGGCAGACCGGCCTGTCTTCTATCACGGAAGATTGAAGTGAAAGGATTTTTACGAGCTTTGGCTGGAGGAACAACAGCCACATGGTAGTCCATCATATGGTTCCAGGCGGAGTCGGTCTCAACACGGAACACGGACACTCCGTCGAGCACAGTATCGTGGATCTGATTGATAGTGATGTAGAGAGATGGGACAACTATCAAACAAGCAACTGCTGTGAGTGCAGAACAGGCCGAAGCCAGACCGATGACGAACTTCTCGTTGAACATCTTGTGATGATAGCTCGGCACACGCAGCACTTTTATAGAGAGCTTTCACGATTTTGGCACTCAAATCGGACTGCATCCCACAGAAAAACCGAGTATTAGGAGATTTGGAGTCAGCCACGGGTGATGGGCTAAAAGTGAGGCTATTAGCATTGAAATAGAACTGGATAGCGGAGATTAGCAGCAGCGGAGGAGCAGGACATTTCTCTGATAAGATCAACCGACTTTTTCCTAATTCCATAAAAAAATGTAATCACTTTGCCGACAACTTTGCTGTACTCTATTGGCGGCTCTGACGTGACTTGATGTAGGGCCCTCAGTTCTGCTATGATGTCCTCTGTTAACCTTTGTACTGTTGTATTCCGCTGTGTCTTGCGAATGAATCTGAGGCCGAACCGATCCAATAGGGATAAGTGAATCCACAATACGAGAAATGGGCTTACAAAAGGCGACTTTCCTCGAAACATGTAAGCTGCCAATTCTCGTGTGAGGGGAGCTCTTGCCGAAATCTTTTGCGCATGAGTAAAATCTTCGGTGTGACTGAATCACCGGTGTCACCGGTGTGGCTACTTGGACTAGTATAATGTGGAGCAGGGTTCAATTATTAAGCAGAGATAGTACGGAAAGTTTCTCATTTCACCGCATATTTCCAGTATACTTGCTGACGTGTTCACGGGCTAACCTACGTCCGGCCTACTTTGTTGTGTCTTGTTGTGTCTTACTTTTTTCCTTTCCTCCAATAACTTTAGACCTTCGTTGTGCGGTTGTTCTATGCTGTGCTGTAGCATGCCCTCTGGCGCATTTAGACAAATAAATAAATATGCTGGTATAATGGCATGTATATGAATTACAATTACAGTGTCATCCACCTGCGAAATGTCGGTTTCCTTCCTTGCGGTAGGAAATCCATTGCGCCAGGCAGAGCTGCGGTAGGGAATATCTCAAAAATACTGGTCCAACGCATATTCGGGGAACCACTATGTATGCTTCAGAATGTTGCTGTTGTTAAAGTGATTACATGTATCCTTGGCTCTTGTCTAACTGGAAGATCGCATCAGGTTGCAGTAGGAGTTCCATATTCTGATTTCCTGTCTTGTCGCACCACTCTTATTGTAATATGAGCTCTGCCTGGCATGCAACACTCCCAGAAGGCAAGTTACTTGTACTTGTGCGTCACCACCCCCGGAAAAAGGCCCACGACTTCCACCCGGGCAACGATCTGCTCCACCTCCAATTTACCATGGAATCGGCCGCACTTCTGAGTCGTTACGTATCTAATCCATCTCGTCAGAGCAAACAAGTAGAGCCGGGAAGGGTGGGGATCGTAACAGGATTCTATTCCGGGGGGAGGGTCGAATTGACACCGCCGTTTCACACATCACGATGCTGTACCCTGGTGGTAAGTGGTAGCACATCCTTCTAGTCCGTTGTGTAATAT